CTCTTACAGACATTGCAACATTTTTAGTTATGTAGGTATACATTCATTGTTATTAACATTGTAGGTAGATATTACAAATCATAAAGAAAAGAAAAAATGATAATAATTGTCAGGTAGGTATATGTCACATCATAGTAATAATCAATTCAATAGGTATAATTGCTGTCGAGTTTAGGATGTCAATAATAAAATTATACAATGTCAAAGTATTACAATGTTATATTATGTCCAGTAGGTATAATGAATCCGTCATACATTTCGTTTGTATAGGGCAGATCGACGGTTCCCACATGAAATGAAATTATTTTATTTTGGACTCTAAATATTCCGTCACTGAGTAGAAGCATTCTTTTATTAGGTATATCTTTAGTCGTTTTTGAAATACTAATAGTGATTTTTCAGATTTTAATCCATCTGGCAATTTATTATATATTTTTATAGCCATATAGTATGGACTATTACTTAACATTTTTATTTTTGATGGTGGCGCACATAATCTTTTTTTATGGCGCGTGTTGACGCTGTGTGTATCTTCTACTCGTGTGAATTTGTCGATATTTTTAAAAACAAAAATACATATATCAAGTATGTATATTGACGGGACGGTTAAGATTTCGTATTGTTTGAAGTATGGTTTGCAGCTTTGTGTACTATCTATTTGGGCTAGAATTCTTATACACTTCTTTTGCATTACAAATATTTCATGTACGTTTACACTATTTCCCCATAACATGGCTCCGTAGCGTAGCCATGAGTATGCATAAGCGTAGTAAGCAGCCATAGCTGTATGTGTGTCAGTGCTTTGTTTTATTTGAAAAAGAGCGTAAGTGAATTTAGATAATTTGTTTTTTATGTGTTCTATGTGTGACTTCCAATTTATGTGAGTGTCAATATTAATGCCGAGTAGGCTAAATGTATTAACTTCTTCTATTTTTATGTTATTGAATGCTATGTCTAGATTTAAGGGAGGTCTTTTGTACGATCTAAATTGCATCAATTTAGTTTTGCAACTATTTATTTCTAAATTATGGATTTGGAGCCAATTATTCACCGTTTTGAGTGTCTGCTGTATTTGCAAATTAGGGTATTCTAGATTTTCACACTTCATTAATATGGAAATATCGTCTGCAAATAATATTGGTAATGCTTTATTTTTGTCTAATGTTTTGGGAAGGTCATTTATATAAATTAAGAACAACGCGCATCCTAGCACACTTCCTTGTGGGATTTCTAGTGTTATCTTTACAAAGAAAATTCTCTGAATAATACTTAGACAATAATAATATTTTCAAGTAGGTATGTGTTTCATTCACACTTGCGTTGAATATTATTCTATTGTGCTTACATTCGATGGTTATTTCGTCCAAGTTAAATCGTGATGATGCACGCGAATTAAAGTATCTAAATCATTCTATCGATTGTTGATTGTTGTCACACCATGATTACAGGCACATTGATGATCACACTTTCTAAGGAAGGATTTTCTGGTTGTTGTAGGTAACAATTAAATAAAATAATATTAATTTGAACGCCACTATCAATGAGGAAAATTTTGGAAAGACTGATCTAGCGATTACGTAATTACGTAAGGTATGGAATAAACACTACTTTTCTAGTCTTGGCTATTTTGAAAATTAAGCACCTAACACAATCCAGAAAGAGACATTTTAAACGCTTTTTCTATTCAATTAACAACAATAATTATGTTAATACAAGAAACATAAATTGAATGAAGTAGGTTGTTGTTTAATAATTAATTATTATTTACTATTATTATAAATGTAAGCTACTATGTAATATAAAACATTCTTAGACAATATCTAAGATTATGTACCTATGTGAAGCTATTTAAAATGCATAAAGTTATTACCTCAGTACCAGAGAACAATGACAGTTTATAGTTTATTGTTACTATCGGCTATCCTAGAACAGTCTTCAATATATCGTACAAGTCAGTAAATATAAAGTAGCTTCTAGACTTAAATCATAAATTAATGTACAAGGTATTTAATAGCAACATAACAATACATAAAAAACGTTTTTTTAAGGGGGGAAAATCATCGAATGACTGCTTCCGCCTGGGTGAGGCGGGAGGGAGTGTCAGACTCTTACTGACTAAAAACCACCCTGTTCCTTCTCCTGCACGTCGAGCCGGAGCCCCGGTACCCCGTTAGGTTCTCCGCGACTCCGAATCGGCTTCAGCCCTGTTGGGCCCCATTCGTGGTGGTCTGATGGCTCTTTGAGGTGCGCGCGGAACGCGACGCGCCGTACGCTCGGGTCTGTTTCTGGTCGGACGGGGAGCCACCCATGCTCGCCGTCCGCAGGCCCGCACTTACGGTAGCCTGAGATCCCCGACGCCCGGTGTCTCCTTCGCGATGGCATAACAAAACGTTTAAAAAATGTATTCTACTAGAATTTTCTTGTCTGTTTATTTAAACACCCAGATCTTGAAAAAGGAATATTGGACCATGCAAAAATTTATCCGATCGTGAATTAAATTTACGATATATTGCACAGTGATCTGTCTCTTATGCTTCGTTTGTACTACTCTTGTATTTTAGTAGAGTGACGAGTATTTAGTAGCCTTCTCTCGCTTCTGTCTCAAAATCGAAGCGAGAGATAACTAAAAACTCGTAACTCGACTAAAATACTAGCGCAGTGCGAACAAGGCTTTAGATACTAAATCAACTGCGCAGTCAAAACAACAATTGTGAACAAATTTTTATTGTGTAACTGTGAATGTCTATAATGCACACTAGAAAATTTATAACATGTAGTTCTTTCTAAAAAAAAATAGTTTTAAAAAGCTAAAAACATAGTAATCATAATTATTGCCTCATCATCAGGGGAAATGAACATTTATCTCCGAAGGGGTAGGCAGAGGTGCACACAGAAGTAACACCCACTTTTCACTATTTATGTTACGAGTCCCATGTAATAGGGGGTGAGCCTATTACCATATACCGAGCACATTTATAGACTCCGGGCAAAAACTGAGATTTTTTTCTAAAAACCCAGTAATACTTTGCCCGACCCGGGAATCGAACTCAAGAAGCCCCTTGCCCGGCATTCGCACTTGCGACCAGTCGCCCAATAAGGCAGTCATACATATGTAATGAATGCAAACTAAATATTGATATTTACCAGTAAGTATTCGAAGGATTGATGGATCCTTCATCATCAGACTAGGACTACCATCCCATTCTATTGTATGGTCATCTAATCTACAAGTTGCAAACTTTTTTTCTATATATTTGATGGGCCAATGTTTGACCACTATAACACCTGGTGGTAAGCGATGATGCGGTCTACGATGGAGCACGTCGTCCCATAAGCAACCTATTCACTCGGGCCTTGAAGATACCTAATTTCATGATGATACCAAAATATAGAAGCGTGTGCAGTTTCAATCCTTAGATTTTATTACATAGTTCGTTACAGGTCGACCTAATAAAAGCCTATTAAAAAAGAAAACATTGAAGGCGATATGGTATTATTTATTCCCATGCTGTTAGGTAAGTAGGTAACATGTAACAGTTATAACGTAACCACGTATTACAAAAGGCTTCAAAAATCAATATTCGTTGAATCATCAGAGGAAACCATAAAAATAAGGCTTAAAATAATAACAGCAACTTCACAGAAGATAGATGTTCATACTAACATGATACACTAAAACTTGGGTATTCTTTATACCAGTTATGTAATGAGTTCCATGTAATAGAGGGTGATTACCAGCCATAATATTTAATCTTCGTATTATTGGTAAGAGGATTTAAAAAAATAACTGTTAATGTTCTATTTGACCTGGGAATCGAAACTGAGTTGTATTACCAGGTAAATCGTAGTCGTACTTGGGAAAACTCGACTAAAAAAACAGGAAGACGAAAATTTCAGCAACGAAATACATAGCTATATCATTCAAAAATAGAACAATTTTTTTTTACAAACGGTAGAATATTTAACTTGTGTCACATTTTAACGCCCGCCATTGATATAGATATAGATCAGATGATTTTTACTTTTACATCTATAATTTCACATGGTACTTTCATAGTAGTAGAAAAAAATAAATAATTAATTATTCATCATTAATGTACAGTATGCACAAAACATTGTCACGCACGCCACGCACAGACGTGCCCACGGAAGCGCTAATACATGCCCTAATCATAGTTACGTGTCGACTGAGCTAATTCTGCTGAGATCAGTCTAGAAGCGGCCTTCCAAGGTCACGCCTTACGCCATAGAGCTGTTTGTTTGGATACAGATACGACATCACACAACTTATCGACGACTGTTATTCTGCCTACGCGAGTTCCATCCAAGTTTAAGCGATATGATTTAATGAGGAACTATTCGAGAGGATTTCGTTTTGCATGTTTCCAGATTGGTAAATTAATTGTTTTAATACATAATCTTAAAGAAATGGACCGATCAAGTAAAACGGTCGTCCTCTAAATATATAAGACGCGCTTAACAGTAACCGCTGGAAGCAGATCATCCGCTTTAGATGCAGTCTTGGTGCTGACTATGATCCTCAGACATGAGGAAGCGGCTAGAGATACTACAGAATGTACATTTAGTATAGTGGTGGACCATTCAACCGTAGTCGCCAAGAATCCTGACACTCCTTCTTGCCTTACCCAAGGCGGCAGAAGCTATTGGATGATTTTGCCTCAAAAATAAGCCGGCACTATTAAGGTATCAACATCATACATAGTATTCAGTAAATAAGAAACATTTAAGTATTCCTAATATTACGTAAATGTTTTTCTAGTCTGCTATCAAATCATTTATGTTTCCAAACTTGAACATGAATCAAAGGTAAACTCAAACGTCGGTTACCTGTTTGTACCTACGCTGTATTTACATTACAACTCTATCGTGAGCGTTAGCGATGCGCTTACGCATCCCGCTGCCCCACCACCTCTATATAGCCTCCGCGACCCGCGGCGGCCTCAGTTCTAGTTGCATCACCCACGAGTGCACACGTCAAAATGTTTTCGCCGCGATTGCTTGCGGTCTGCGCTGTTTTAGCGACTGCCGTCGCTGTGCCGGTCACTGACGGACCAGTCCGGCCTATTACGACAATTACCGAAGAAGATTTCGAGAACCCATGGCTCGGTTTCCCTATGTTCGGTAACCTGTTCGCTCCCCTATGGAAATTGTTCCCGACGTTCGCTGACATTGGACCCAGAATCATCGCTGATGACGACAAATTCCAAGTTATTGTAAATGTTAAGGACTACAAGAGAGATGACCTGAAGGTTAAGGTCAAGGGTGACTTCATCTTCATCCAGGGTTCACATGAGGCCAAGCAGGACGACCGTGATGTATTCGCCAGCCAGTTCTTCCACACATACACGCTACCAGCCAACTCTTCGAGTACTGATGTCACCGCTGAGCTAACAAGTGACGGCAACCTGATCGTCACTGCTCCAGTCACCGGAGCCATCGACAGAGCAAAGGACGTCGATAGGGAAGTGCCCATTGTGGAAACTGGAAAGCCATACATAGAAGACAAAGTAGAGAAGACGACTCCTCAGCCTGCGGCTACTGTCACTGATGATGACGAGAGGAAAGAACCAACGACTCCCGCTGAAAAAGAAGATGTGACCGAAAAAGATAACGTTATTCCTCACGGAAACGAGATTCCGCTTTAAAGTGATAATATTAGATTAAGTATTTAATTATAAATTAGTATACGAATAAATTTTTTGTATTTACTGGAGTGTTTGCTTGTCGCGTGTTGGTATGCGCTGAGCGCACGTTTAATGGTCCCTGCGTGAATTGAATGCGATATGTGGGAGACGTGATGTGTGACTTATGAAACAATGGAGGTTAGTCTTTGTTATTTTTGAATTTCAACTATTTTATTGAACCAAACTGTGAGTTAACTTCTGATAAGTAGAAGTGCGTACATTATGCTTTTAAGTCACAGTTTGAAAGGGTAAACTTTAAAAAAGTACTTTTAAAATTGATAGAAAAATAAAATGATGATTGAAATTACATTTTAGCAAATGATTCAAAAACATTAAAATAATCCTATTAAAGGTTTAGAGCATTTATCAATTTCTTTCAAATTGCGAATTGAGTAAAAATTAAGAAGATTTCTTTCATGAATACCTTTTACACTGCAGATTTTAGACTAGTGTGACTTTGCAAAACTCTTTACATTTTTAATGATATGGTGTCACGGTTCGGTCTGTGATCGTGCTTGTTGACAATGGTGACATAATCAAGAGGTAGGATCTTGTTTCTAAACGACAGGCCCCTAAATAACCTGTAGCTGGCTTAATTAAACTCTGACCTTTACCTTGAAATATAATAATTATGATATTAAGACAAAATTAATGTGGCATTGTTAGTAACCATTCCATGATACGAAAATAGCTAAAAAAACAAATATTATTTAAGTTTTTGACTATTTTAGTTGTAATTATAATGTTACCTACATTATGTACAAAGAATATTTTGAGTTAAAGTGTAGGTAACTTTGTCATATAATTATGTATTTTCATAGCAATAATTTTTGATTTTTAATTCAAAGCTACAATCTATTTGGTTGATAGGTACTCTTTCGATTTCGAACTAGATAGAAAATTGGGAAAGTATATATTTTTTTTAAAAAAACGTTGCCCCGCATTAGGATTATCTCCTGTGTCGTGGGTGCGTTTACAAACATACAAGTTCACATACACAATGACACCCAGACCCGAAACAACAATTTGTGGATCACACAAAGTGTTGTTCCGTGTGGGAATCGAACCCGCGACACGTTGCACGGCAGCCTGTTGCCCAGCCACCGCACCAATCGTGCAGTCGTGCAATTGTATAACATGAAGCAAAGACTAATATAGTTTTAACTTCAACCAAAGGACTACTCGTGCCCATTTTGTGCATTGTACCGCTGTTTACACTTCCGAAGTATAATAGCCGTAATGTTATGTTACGTAAGTAGTAGTTATGACTTGTGTTATGACTTAGCTACGACCACGTTAAGCTAAAACGTAAACAAATAGCAATTACTGTTACAATAGCCTGTACGTGTTTACAACAACGAGAAATTGAATTGGAAAACCCTAATGATATATGAAAGTTATAACGTTAGGAATATTTTCACCAAATATTTCTTACCATAACACCGAAGTCAAAGCCAAAGTCAAAGTTAAAATAATTTATTTCAATTAGACCAGGAAGGCACTTTTGAACGTCAAAACAAAATATTTAAATATTAAATAATAAGAAAAAATGTCAGTCTGTAGGTCAGTCCTCTAGTGAAGCTATTTGCTCGTTCCAAAGTGTAGATTCCTATGGAGAAGAACGAGCAAGAAACTCCATAGGTTACTCTTTTTCAATATGTTCACAATACAATTTTTGGTTACATTCTTTCGTTGAATTCAATTATAACTTTTTATCCCCGAAGTGAGGCTCCCTAGGTAAGGCGGGAGGGAGTGTCAAACTCTTACTGACTAATAACCACCCCGTTCCTACTCCTGCACTTCGAGCCGGAGCCCCGGTAACCCGTTAGGTACTCCACGACTCCGTATATGAAAAGAGGGTGAGTAGAAATTGTAAGTATGATTTGTAATTATTCCTTAATAAAATGTTTTCTTTTTAATTGTATGTGTTGAAATTTTTTTTTTAATTGGATAAGTGTTAATCTTATGTATTGTTCGTAAGTTACGATTTAGTCAAATGCGATTAAAAACAGTGTAAACGAGCGTTAAACTCAGTTAATTGATTACATTGTTCATTAAGTTTAACAACACAGTAGGCATAATCACGGAATAGTTTATCAATTGACATTTCCTATTGTGGATTCGATTTCCGCGTTACCTATACATTGTGCAACATTGTTTAAGTTGGTTAAGGATATTTTTTCTTTAAACATTCAGGTTCTGTGACATGTCTTAGAGCATGTCTAAAATAACATCCTTACAGGCATACTAAATTAATTATTATGTTTACGGCTTACTTACCGTAACTGTCTGACAGTCGCCACGTCGCGGGTCGCGGAATGCTGCTCATGAATATGAGCCTCTAGTATGAAACTAGCCGAGTTCCTCGTCAAATAATTACGTGAGTAAGCCGAAAACATAATAAGTAATCCTAAAAGGCGTTCTATTAAGCATGCAGAAATATATTCAAAAATCGAATGCCTGTCGATTCGTGACGTGACGCCTACAGAGAGAGTAGAAAACTAAATGTATGGGGATGACACTGACAAGTGTGAAAATTTACGTCAATTCCATATAATATGGTTTTCTATTCTACATGTAGACAAGCGCTAAATGAAATGAGCAATGTTAATTTTGAGCAAAATTCATAAATACAAACTGACAAGTCCTCAATTAAAGCATACTTTCGAGCTTGAAATTAACATTTTTACAGGGAATTTCAGGATAAAAAGAAAATCTTTTTTCTGGAAAGAAAATTATAACATGTAGTCAAATGAAAAAAAAAATACAAAATTTTCAAAACATACCTAATTATTATATAAAAACACTCTTTTAACAATTGCATCATAACTAATAGTAATAATAACTATTGTGACAGACAGACAACCGATATAGCAGCAATAATAAAGTATTAGTTAACGTAGTACGTACATATTTCATTTTGATTGTCAAACAACTGTGACTATCGCCATATTGATGCAGGTTACGCATTACTGCTTACATCAACAATCATTATAACTTACACTCGCAACCTTCACAGTTACAATTAAAAATCACTTTTATTATTATTACATGAAGATGTATATTTTATTACAAGATTTCATTTAACTTGGTATGTATGTATGTAAGTAAGTACCTACCTATGTATGCGTTCAAAGTGGAATCTTGCAACAAAAATTTTGCAAATATCATCAACCGATTGATCGGAAATTTTGTATACAAATACAAGTTTAGTTTTGCATGACCATAAAATCTTGTTTTAAAAAGTTTTGCACTAATTATCCACAAGGTGTTTGTTCTGTTCGTTTTTTAAAAAACATTGTCCCACTCTAGGATTTTCTGCTGTGTGATCGGTGCGTTTACAAACGTACAAGTTCACATACACATGACACCCAGACGCGGAACAACAATTTGTGGATGATGCGGCGGTCCAGCGACAAGTTGCACGGTAGCCAATTGCAACCATGCAATATGGTACTTTTCACCAATATCTAAGTAATCTTTAGGATGAGTATATTATTAAAGACACTTTAATTGTAATCAAACACGATTTCATTTGTCGAGTGATCAAAAATACAGTAAAGAATCGTAGTTGCACTGTGAAGTCGATAATGTACTCGCTTGTATGAGCTTAAAAATGATTTTTCAAGATTATTGCCATATACCGAGCATAATTCCAGACTCCGTGCTACTACTGAGATTTTGTTTAAAAACCCAGTAATACTTTGCCCGATCCGTGAATTAAATCCCGAGACCGCTTGCCCGACAACTCACTCGGCCGACGAGGCAGGCAGCTTTTTATTTGTTGGTGTCACAAAGGTAAGTTTTTACGCAAGGAAGCGCATTAAATCAAACAGAAGTTTACCGGGTTGTTTGCCTCGGTTCAAGACACATTCTAATAGTGCTAGGAAAGAACTAGAATTTTCTTTAATTCACTTAATATTGTATTGTTAGGTATGTATGTACCTTAATTTATTTAAATAATAACACCTTTGATGGGCTATTGTTTCACATATTTATATTTCTAGTAACTTTATCAAGAGTTTTTATGATTATTAAATAGAATTTTCTAAGAATGGTAATATTTTATATTAAGTATATTATTTACGTCTACTGGTAATATTAAAAAACAATGGTATGATTTGATGATGATCGAACGATTGCAGATTATAAGTGTATCATCATTAATTATTAAAGTTTGTACAGGATTTTTTTTTTAAGGGTGGAAAATCATCGATTGACTGCTCCCGCCTGGGTGAGGCGGAAGAGAGTGTCAGACTCTTACTGACTAAAAACCACCCCGTTCCTTCTCCTGCACGTCGAGCCGGAGCCCAGGTTACCCGTTAGGTTCTCCGCGACTCCGAATCAGCATCGGCCCTGTTGGGGCTGTTGGGCCCCATCTGTGGTGGGGTCTGATGGCTCTTTGAGGCGCGCGCGGAACGCGACGCGCCGTACGCTCGGGTCTGTTTCTGGTTGGACGGGGAGCCACCCATGCTCGCCGTCCGCAGGCCCGCGAAAGTTTTTACAGGATAGCTTTTTTAACAACCTATAAAATCGCTGCAACTCCTGTATTAGAAGATAAGAAAGAACCTCGTTGGCTGAGTGGTCGCAAGTGCGACTGCCTAGTAAGGGGTCTCGGGTTCGATTCCCGGGTCCGTTAAAGTTTTACTGGTTTTTTGTGGTTATGGAGGTCGAAGTTCTGGACTGGATTAAAATCACTACATAGTATAAAACGAAGTCGCTATCCGCCGTCTGTCTGTCCCTATGTATGCTTAGATCTTTAAAACTACGCAACGGATTTTGATGCGATTTTTTAAGTAGATAGAGTGATTCTTCAGAAAGGTTTATATGTATAATACTTGCATATTGCATCCGTGCGAAACCGGGGCGGGTCGCTAGTAAATTTTTCATTTTTTTTGTATCTCACAAGCTCTGGAACTGTACCCGATAAAGATTAACTCCCCTCTTTTTATGACTACTAT